CCAATTTGGAATCAACTGTTCCATTCACTCCTAAATACAAGTATTTAGGAGTCAAGTGAAACGTACTATTGATAGAATTTGGAACATATGTTTAATTTTAAAGCCACAATTTCACTTTATTTATCTATCATTAGTTTCATTTTCTAAAAATGTTGAAAACTCTATTAATAGTTCAAGTTCGACACCAATAAATTTTAAACTTTTAATTATTTCAAGAAGTAGAAAAATTAAGTTTTGATCAAATATGGATAAAACTAGCGTTTTTTTATGACTTAGAATTTGAAATTGTTCTCTAGATTTTTTATCTATATGGGGTGACCTCAAAACTGTAATTTTTTGTAGTTTATTAGGTTTTATTTTTTGTTTTGGTTGATCTAAGTTAAAAAAAGAAAAAAGAGATAATAAATAGGTTTCGGTATGATTCAGACAAATCAAATCAAAGGATTTTAAATTAAAATAAATTTTAAACATACGGTTGATATTTTTAGTAATTTTCTATTGCAGTGGTTTTCATTGTGTTTTACTGAATGAAATTCTCAATAAATTTATAGTTACATTAATCTCCTCAATACATATATCGAGTTTTCCTCAATTAAAAAAATTTAGAACCAATTAGGTTGTTCTTTTTTTCAAAAAAAAGAAATTAAAAAATGGAACAAACCATTTATCAAATTTCTTTCCATATGGTTCACTTCCAAATTTGTCAAATTTGGAAATAATTAGAAGAATTTGGAACCATTAGAAGAATTTGAAAAAAAGAACCACTAGTTTTTGTTTTTTTTTAAGAAAAAGCCAATTAGTTTTATAAACAAAGAGTTAAAGCAATTTTATGTGTGATTAAATGAAGCGGTGTAGGGTAAAACATGAAAAACAAGATAAAAAATAATGTAATTGCTAACGTTATAGCGTTTTCAATCGGAATACGTGAAAAACTACACCAATTTTTAGGTCCTTCAAAATACATAATTTTGACTAAACGAATATAATAGAAACAACTTAAAACACTACAAAGTACACCAATAACAGCTAATACATAAAGATTAGAACTCATTGCAGCAAA